CGGGAGCGCGGTGGGGCCTGGGACGGCAGAGGGACCCTCGCCCGGATGCTGGGGTCCGGCAGATGGGAGGCCACGCGCGGGGGTGAGGACATTTGGGAGGCCGATAGGAGGATTAGCCAGATTGACTTTTGGAGGGTTAATCCTACCTGCTGAAGAAGCTGGGGCTTCGGAGTGAGGCATGGGGTGCGTGCGTGCGTGTGCGTGTGTGTGTGTGTGTGTGTGTGTGTACACGCGTGCGTGCGAAAGGAATTTGAGGTGTTCGTGACTGACACAGAAGGACTCCGGCCAGCCAGTGTCTCAGTCTGCAGGGCCAAGCAGAGCGGCTGGTGTGGGATCCCTGCTGGGTGACTGTGGGCCGGACTGAGCAGGGGCGGGGTGCGGTTCGCGGCCCGGATGGCAGGGATGCCTGCGCCACCTCAGACGTGCCCTGCGGTGGCGGTTGACCCTTCCAAGCCTGCGCTGTGGGAGCCAAAGGCGTGTTTACTTTGGCCGTGACCCCAGCCTGGTAAGCCGAAAGGAGCAGGAGGTCATGTTGTGAAATGATTTTTTTTTTTTTTTTAACTCTAAGCCAGAGCTCTCTTCGAATTGCAGAGGTTGGAGAAAGCAGTGGAATTTTTTGTAAAACGCCCTTCCCTAGGAATCCATTTTAGTAAGGCAGGGTTTTAGTGGCCTGAAAAGCCCCGCAACGAAGCTGGCTCTGCTTGGAGATGATGTACACCCTATACCTCCTTTAGCCTCAGTTTCCTCATCTGTACATAGGGATGCGGATTCCTGGGTTCTCTATGTTGCAGCCTGTGGTTTAAGAAGCACTGAAATAAAGGCTGGGAGAACCCTTGAAATTGAAAAAAACATTGTCAGAATAGTAGTATAAAGCATTTTAAATCGGGGACATGGCAGATCTATTATATGCTGTATTTTTAAGGAGAGAAAAATCTCTTTGCATGGGTTGTCCTGTAAGGAAAACAAAAGCTAAACTCGATGTAAAAGGTGGAGCCATCTTCCTGGGTATTGGATCTGTTTGCTTTTCTGTTGGCAACAAGCCTTGAGAACCAGGATACTGATGAATAATTAAGAACCTGTCTGGAAGAGAAGGGATTTTAAAGATGAGTGTGTGAGCTGCATCAGAAAAAGAGCCTTATTTTAGGTATAGGTGTCTACTTTGTGAGGAGACAGAGAAACAAGTCAAATAGGCACAGGAAAGGCAAAATGGAAGTCTAAAGGAAATAGCTAATAAGCCGGAATATGCTGAGGGTAATGAGGAGGCTCTCGGAGCCTAAAGCTTGAGTGTGGTAGAAGCCAAGTGAGAAAGTGAGTGAAGACCTGGGGGAGCGGTTGGAAGCCTGTGTGTGCGCGCTGCTGCTGAGCAGATCAAAGAGTAAGCCCAGGCGGAGAACTTGTGAGCTCCTCTGGGTGACAGATAAGGACGACTCGGAAGAGTCGGTGTTCAGAGATGTGACCTCTCAGAAACAGCCCGGAAGGAGCAGACAGGAGCTTTGAGCGGGAGAACCAAGTTTCCTTCTGTTCTCTTTTCGATGTCCGATGTTGAGAAGGAGCAGAGAGTGCAGCATCAGGAGAAGGAGATTTCTAGAAGCCGGATTCCCCGGTTGATTCTTCGGCCCCACCTGCCCCGGCAGCCGCAGAAGGTGTCCCCGGCCTCTGAGTCTCCCTTCTCAGAGGAGGAGAGCAGAGAGTTCAACCCCAGCAGCTCCGGGCGCTCAGCGAGGACCATCAGCAGCAACAGCTTCTGCTCAGGTAAGTTCCCAGGGCAGCCCCAAGGCCTAGTGCACTGTGGGTGAACTGGGGTGACCCGGCCTGGGCCCTGGCAGCCTAGGACTAGACTTCTTCTATTGGATGAGGACTTCATAAGGTTGAACCTTTTCAGCTGCAGTTAACAGCAGTTTCAATTGATTCAAGCCAATGGAATTGTATTCTTGTTTGTATGTGTTTTTCTAGTTTATAACTTAGAATATAAAATCTAACTTCTGGTTTCTGTGGCTTAAAACAGTGTGTCCTGTAATAAGTCCAGAATGGATATTAGACTGAATTTTAGACTCCCAACTTCGATAAGCCTGTGCACTTTTGATGATGGAATTCACAAAATAGAGCGATTTCTAATAAGTGAGGGTGAGGACAAGGAGGGCTGCATCTCAGGGCTGGCCTTTGTGTTTAGTGGGGAATAGTATGGCTCTGTAAGGTGCCAGGCCTGGTAACAGAAGGCTGGCATCCCTGGCTCTTCTACCATTTGCTGTGTGGCTTTGGGCAAGCTTCCTAATTGCCGTAAGCCTCAGTTGTCACATCCATGAAATGGAAAGATAGCATAGGTTGAGTATCTCTTATCCAGAATGCTGGGGACCAGAAAGTGGTTTTTTACTTTTGATATACGGAATGAGCACGTTCATCCTAAGGAGTGTGTACCTGTACATAATATATCTTGATCCTTTGTTTTGTTCCATTCCCCTCCTCTCAACTCTTCCTCTCTTCCTTATTTACAAAAGTTTTGTTTCCATTTTTTCGTTCTGTTCTCTTCCTTCTTCCCTTTTCCCTTCCCCTCCCTCCTCTTATTCTCCTTCCCCTTTGAACACTTCCTTCCTACTTCGCAGTATCTATCATCCATTTTGGTCCTTATTTACTCTTGATTTCTCACACAAGAGAAACAATGTGATATAAACATCTGCGTCTGATTTATTTCACTTAAAACTATAGAGACCAGAAGTGTTTTCGGATTTCAGATTTTTTTTCAAATTTTGGAAAATTACGCATAATGAGATACCGTGGGGATGATAGCCAAATTTAAATGTGAAATGTATTTATGTTTCATTGCTAATATATACATATATATATATTTGAGAAATTGATTACACTTCTACACACACACACACACACACACACACATATTTATACGAAATAGGGCCAGGCTCTATTTTGTATGTACAGCAAATAAAACAATGTTGTACAGTATTTTTAGTGCACCTGCCTTTTCATGTGACCTGTCACAAGGAGTCAAGTGGGGAATTTTCTGCTTGTGGCTTATGATGGTGCCTAAAAAGTTTCACATTTTAAAGCATGTGGGATTTTCACATTAGGGATGCTTACCCCGTACCTACTTTGTAGAGTTGCAGTGAGGTCGAATGATATCATTTCCCTAAATATCCTCTTAGCTCAGATCCTGGCTTATAGAGTATTTAATAGAGGATGGTTCTTAATATGATGGACTATGCGTGCCAGTTTTGGCCAAAGATGAAGGAAGTTTCCTCAAAGGTATGAGGAAGGGCACAGATCTCTTCATAGCTCCTAGAAGCACCACCATTATCATCTGGCCAAGCTGGTGACACCCACAGAAGCACATACCTTCAAAGAATACTTTAAGAAGCATAGGGAATTTGAGTAAAATTTAAAGTAATTGTCTTATGGTTAATGAAGAATGCATTTCAGAGTGGATAACATTTCAGAACTTATTAGGAAACATGATTTAAGGATTAATCCACTCAAGAAAAGGAGCGTGTGACTAAAGATAGCCTGATAGATGCTCTTGTTTTGCAAGATGCAACATTCCATTGCATTTAGTGCTAGAAACTGCGTTATCAAGTATTTTTTATAAATACAGCTTTGGATTTATTGCATACTTTCCCAATATAAATTCCGTGCATGAGGTATATCTTAAAAACATCCTACTGCCTACTTTTCTTTCTTTTTCTTTTTTTTTTTTTTTCCTCTGTGGATCCTCAAATTCTTGGCTTGTCTAAATATTATGTTGTGAAACTTATTTCCTGCCATCCGAATGATACAAAGCTAGTTTAAATTGGAAGCCCACTGATGGTCTGCTTTGTACTCTGCCAAGAAGAAAGCCACAGGGTAACCGACAAGCGAGAACAGTGAAGTTGCCTCAGCCTAGAGTGGGATTTGCAGAATGTAACACTATTTAACTCCATGTTGGATTTTAGCGCTCACTGTGGTGGTGTGGGGACGTCATTTCAACCGGACTCTTATCTGTTTGCATAACCAAATCCCCCATTTATTCCCCATGTTCTCCCATGGAATTAATTTCTCTGTGACTGACTTCAGTGTGAGTAGTTATCGGAAAATGCAAACTTGGTCAGAACAAAAGAAGAAAAATACTCCAGATATATTGTAGAAAATATAAAGACAATGGGCTGGGGATTTAGCTCAATGGTTCCGGTACCTGCTTCGTGAGTTCGATCACCAGTACCAAAAAAAAGAAAAAAGAAAACATAAAGACAAATCAATGAAATTATCAAGTTTGGTCATGAATCATTCTCTTCCGGACCCATTTCCTGAATCATCATTCCTTTTTCCCAGAAAACCTGTTTCCCACTAAGGCCATAATGTTGTACATGGAGATCGAAGCTCAGTATTGATCCTCCTGCCATTAACTAGCTGAGAATTGAGTGGCAAAAACATATAATTATGGTCATCCATAAACCAGTCTTTCAGTCTTCAGCCTTGCACTGCACCGCCAGACAGGACTCCCGCCACTTGAGAGAGTGTCTCCCGGTGCTGACAGTTCCCCAAGCCTTGGGTCTGACGCCTTTCCCTTTCTGCTTTCCTCTTCCACAGGGCTCTGGTGAACCCCATAAAGGCTTTTGAGTGCAGTGCTGACTGAAATTGACAGCAGCGAGGCCTTCGGGGGCATGTTAATGATGCTTGAGGCGGACAGTCAGTCAGTGCGTAGAAAATAAATGGGTTTGGGACCACAGGGAGCATTACTGCTGCAGGCAGTGAGGCAGAGAATGCAGAACATGTCCAGCCAGCAGGGGGATCTAGCTGGTTTTAATCCAACCACTCCAACATGAGGCCCGAATATGTGTTGCCTAATCGTGGCAGTTAACTCAAAGAACAAGGTCCATGCAAACATTAAAATGCCATTCTCTGCTCACATGAAACTAAAATAACTTAGAGCTGTCTGTCGTCACCAGAGCTTCATAGCCTTGAGGAATCATTCCGCGTCAGCTTATGTTCCTTCTAAATCATTTCAACTAATGCCAAAGGCAGGTAGTCATAGGTGAGGGCAGTCGTACAATCTGAAGTGAAATTACAGGAGAGGACATTATTCAAACAGAATTAAAGATTCTGAAAGTTGCAGTTTCCCCCAGAACTGTACAAAGGCATTAATTGCAAAGAGCATCATAAGTTCTAAAGCATTCATGTTCAAAAGAAAGATAATATCATGAGCTTACGTGAAGTTAAACTTACTTAATATGAGATTATCCGTTAGAGTCTGGCTTTTGAAGCTACCATTTGTATTCAAACACATATCCGTGGTGGTGGGTGGCACTTACACTTTGGCAAAATAAATGACACCTGTGTGGTGATGATTCCTTTACTCTCACCCCTACTTTTTTAAAAAAATAATTTACGAAGCAGTGAAATTTTTGAAAACTGGAGCCATTTCTGAAGTGACGCATCCATTTTCACCTATTTTCTCTTTCCCTCCCCCACTCCTCTGCCTCCCTCCTTTCTTCCCATGGGAGCCTCGGCCAGGCCAGGAACATTTAATAACTGGATATTGTGTATGCTAATTTCTGTGTTGTGTTTATCTCATCTCAGAGGGAAGCAGTTGTGTGTGGCCTTCTGCAGCTCATTTGAGGGGGGTGTCCCCAAAAAGCACTCGTGTGAATAGCTTCTTATTGGCAGAATCTCCTTGAAGATGGGTGTGTGTTGTGCACTACATCAGCAGAGTATTTTTGTACTTGAACATTGTTCTAGTGTTAAAACAGAGCATTGCTTCCAGTTTCTGACCAGTCCTGGTCACCACGCCCTTACCTGCAGATGGTCAGGTGTACGCTGTGTTGGAGGCCTGGCCCTATTTTGTGAGTATAGCAATCAAACATTCTTACTAAATGTCAGTTAATGCTTTCTTTAAATAAAAGAATTCATAAGAAGTCCAGTTAATAGAAACATACCTGCTTTCATGTCCCACTTTTTAAAGCCAACGTTTTGTTGTTAAACAGAGATTTGGCATAATGTAACCCTGTCTTTTTTTTTTTTTTTTTCTTCCTCCCTCATCTTTCCTGTTTTTAACATGCCCCGGAGAAGTGACAAAAACCCATATGTGCAGTTTGTGTTCTGGGTGTGGCCCATCGAATGGAGGTTTCTGTGCATTTTTCTCCACCTCTAGCAAGTTGTGTTTGTTGTCACAGGGGACTCCAGCCATTGTTTGCTGAGCGGGGACCTGGGTGGGTGGACGAGGCACAGGCATCAGTCACCTGCCACAGTTAGCGACACGCTGCGCATTCCTCTTTGCTTAGTTGAGGCAATAATTACCCCTTGGAACTAGGAGGCAGATGGATCGCTGGGTTTTAAGCTAGTTCTCCTTAGGGTGTCTTGTAAACATGGCAGGTGGAACAAATTATGCATATAGAACACCGGTTGTTTTATGGCAGACCAGTCATCTCTCTCACTTATTTTTGTATGTGATGTGCACACACAAAATCGTGAGTTTAAGCTACAAAAAAAAAAAAAAAAAAAAAAAAAAAAAATAAAAAAAAAAAAAAAAAAAAAAAAAAAAGACACAGAGCACCCGGTCAGTGAACAGAGTGGAGAATGGTCTGAATCAGAGATTCGTTGCCATAAGTTCTTGAACTAGGTGTTTTACAGAAAGTATGTTTTAATTTTTACAGTAGCTCTAGAGAAATCTCTGAGTGCTGATAACTTGGAGGTAATCACTGTTGCTGTTTGTGGGCAGAATAATTAAGGCAAATTATAACGTGACTAGTGTCCTGCTGAGGCATGAC